CCAGCCTGATGGAAGCCCTGAGACGATGCCCTGCCCTCCGTCCTCTGGGAGCTCTCCATACTAAACTGTGATCTCGTCCCTGTTCATGCCAACACCAGGCAAGAAGCGATAAGCCGGCCTCGTCTCTCCCAAGGCGCTTGGCCAGGACCTCTCAGTGATCATTTCCCTCTCCATAAAGTGCTGGGAAGGCGTCCAGAGCACTTCTACCCTCCCTCCTCCCCTACTCCTGGAGGACACGCCTCCTATTCTAAGCATCTGGAGAGGAGCCCTGCCTCCCCTGCCATGCTGTGGGCACACACCGGAGGCCAGCGAGCCTGCTGACTTTTCTTTTGCTCTGGCTCATTTTCCTTCTGGAGCAGCAGGCTCATCTCCTGCATTTTTAATCGCTGAGCATATTTAGCATTCCGCACACACGTGTGGGTTGATAAGGCCCAAAGAGAAGGCAACAAGCCATACAGGGGAGGAAACCCTCCTCCCTGTCTCCCGCCCCCATCAGCAGGTTTGTGTTCCCCCCACGGCTCACCAGCCTGGACCCCGGGGTGGCCAAGCGACAGCAGGTGGGAAAGTCAGTTTGGCTGACTCAGGCCCTGTGCTGGGCCGGTCCCTTAGCAGAGCAGGGACTTAGAAGTGAAGGCTGAAATGCTCATCTCAGCTCAAAAAAGCCAATCAGTCAGAATTCCCTCTTGACTTTCACCAGGGGAAAAGAATCATCTTGCCCACCTCCCTCTGCTTTTATGGGCTCCATGGACACCCATATGGTGGGACACCAGACAGGGTCTTCTCTAGCTTCTGGCTCCCGCAGGGGTGGTCCTCACTGGCAGAACAGTGAACTAGCACAAATGGGGGTGCTGGGTGAGGTCTGAGTACTTCCAAGCAGATTAAGTGGGACAAATCTAGTAGCAGGGGAATACCAGCCTCTGTTTCTCCCTTTCTTCTAACAGTTATTTTTTAACCTCCCTAGCCACGGAAGGGAAAAATACAACAAGCCCACAGACTATTTAATGTTCTGTGAGATGCCAGGAGGTGGGCCTGAACTCAGGAGTGGTATATTGTATCTGCATATTTGAGCTACTTGGGGAAAGGCTCTGCTAATCTACAGTGGTGGGGTTTCTGCTGCCTTGGCCTTTAGGGCCTGATACAGAGATCCTTTGGAGCAAGGGACAACTTGGGCAGGACTCCATTTGGGTCCCCTGGGGCTTTCCCCACAACACCCAGTAGCAGGTTAATGTGAGTAGGAACAAGCATTCCTTCTACCTTGGGATTTAGCAACTCCTGTCCGTGAGCATAATACAATATAAAAGAGATGGAGCCTGTGAGTCAAAGAACTGAGGCCTACACCCAGGGTCAACTGGTGGAGACATCTGATCTCTGCTGTCAGATACAGCAGCCATTAGTCATCTGTGGCTATTGGACACAAAATGTGGCTGGGGAACTGAATTTTAAATAAAATTTATAAACAAATATTTGATTCAGATGTTAGAAAATGTTTAAGTATGTTTGGAGCAACTTGGGCATGTGAATCCATTTATAATCTCTATATTTTTATGAAACCAAAATATGGATCAAGTATTTCTGATGAAAAAATTTGCTGTCCAAATTGAGATGTGGTATAAGTATAAAAGATTTACGAAGAAAAAAATAAAGAACATTAACTATCTCACTGATTATATGTTGAAAGGATAATACTATAGAGACATTAAATCAAATTTTGAACAAATTAAATCAAATATATTATTAGGGATTCATTTAACTTGTTTCTTTTCAAGACTAGAAAATTTTAAATCACATAGGTGGTATGCACTATTTCCATTAGAGAGTGCCAGTCTCCAAATTTTTCTAGAAGAAAGGTTAACCATCTCTAGGAATGGAATTTTACCATCCCCTTCAATGGTCAGATCCATTTCATTCAATCCAACAAATAATTGACAAAAAGGAAAGTGTTTGCTGGGCTGGTGAGGAGCTACTGTGTAGGCGGCCCGGCAAGTATTACAGCATGGAAGGTGTACAGATCTAATTTATGGCACCACACAAAGAGTCACAGGTAAGGTAAGAATGAAGTGCCATGGGGGCCAAAAAGAGGAACCTAGCAAATCAGGTGGCTGGCAAGGAGGTGAATGGGGAGAGAAGGACTCTGAGAAGAAGGTGGCCAGTGGAGTGGGCAGTGAGGAACAGGGAGGATTTGGGAAGGGAAGAAGGGAAAGGAGGCTGAGGAAAGAACAACGGCTTAGCAGTCCCTGCTTTCTCAGCTTCCTTGTCCCTCGGCCCTCCATCCTCCAGGGTCCTGCTGTTGGTTCCTGCTCTTCTCAAGCCAAACACCTTCCTCAGTGGCCCATTTCATACCTGTGGTTTCAATGCCTGGGTCTAAAGTGGTGACTCTGAAATTCCCATCCCCAACCCATCCTGATCTCCCAACATCTGGATGCAAACATTCAATGCTCACTGGACAGTTCCAGGCAGGTCTTCAGACACTCAAAGTCCAGAGTCCTCTCCTCCTTACTGTATGCTTTGGCCCTTTCTGTGCCACAGGTGGTTATTGACACATAGTATTATAGTAAGCGTTTGTTAATTTGAGTAAAAATAGAAGAATATTCTGGGCAAACACCAGAGGAAGACATGGTGGGGAAGCTGGAGCAATGGATGATCAGGATTGGATGAGGGGATTTTGCATTCAGTTGGTAGAGGGTCCCTTAGATTAGGCTGAGGGGTTAATAATTCAGTAGGCAATGATGAATTTTTGAGGATTTTTTAGAGGATTATGACTTACCAAATATTCACACTTGAGAATGAGACTTAGTGAAGTCAAGTGACTTGTTCAAGGTCACAAAGAAAGTTAGAGGCCAGGCTGGGACTTAGACTGGCTTTTCCTGTCTCTAGCTCAGTGCTTGTTCTTCCACATTGCTCTCTGGGGAAGCCTCTCAGAACTGAGCCTGAACTCTCAAAGCCACGAAGCCAAATCTTCCTGACATGTGTCTCTGGTATTGGTGGGAAGGGGACAATAACTGGGCTAATAACCGAAGTGAGACCAGCAGGAGATGGCTGCACTCTGTCTCCTCATTTATGGCACAGCCCTTACTCTGTCTTCAGGTAAATCACCCTTTAGCTTTCTGCTCTTCACACAGGTAAGCGCCCTAGATTTTGGAGAGAGCCTTTTCCCCCTTAAGTTATTTCTCTCCTTGCAATCCTTTTGGCTGCTCTTCTCTGGACCCTGGCTAGTTTCTTCAGATTCTTTCAGAACCACCTTCTTTCTCTAGTGGAAGGTGCCTTGACCACAGCTGGCCTTAATCAGTGAGTGCTGAGTGTCTGAATGGAATGTGGAGATGGGTCTAACCCTGCGTCTCCTGGAAGGTATGCCTCCCAGGAGAATTCCTGGTGTTGTGTGTGCCTTTCTCTCCTTGCACCCTCGTTTATCATTTATCGAGTTCACTTTGTGATCTTCCGCGGCTCCTTAGTCTCTTTCTGGGTTATTTCTCATGAGTGCCTGCCTGGCTTTCCTCATTTTCACTGTAGCATGCTTCTGAAGTCTCAATAAATGATATTTATCCTTTTCCATTTTCAACTTCATTCTCACTCTGAAGAGTCATTTCTCTACTTTTTCAGAAAGACCCGACTTCTCAACCTTTATCCCAGGTTACAGGGGCTCTGTCCTTTACATATGATAATAATGATATTAATAACTTTCATTGCCTAATATTTATTAAGTGTGTACTCTGCTCCAGACATTGTACTTGCTTCTATAAAAATTAACTCACTTAATCCTTTCAACAATTCCATGAGGTAGAGCTATTTTAGCCCCATTTTACAGATAAGGAAAACTGAGGCACACCAAGTCAAAAATCCAAAGCCCCACCACTGACAGCTGTGTCCCCCTACAGCATGGACCCCAGGTCCAAACAATCTGAAGAAAACAAAGCTTGTCCATGAGGCCCACTTACATGACAGGTAACTGTCCTCCTTGACAGTCATGTCTAAACCTTCTCACTCTGTCACAAGAGGCTCATTAATTGATCTGGCATAATTGCTCTTTACAAAATCATCACCCTTTCCAGCATGCAGTGACAAACCAATTGATGAATGATTTTAGTCCACAGTTTTTCTAGGTATGGACTTATGTGCAATTAACTATCATTACTTTACAGACACTTTTTCTCCTTAAATATACAAATTAGATGGACTCCAACTTATCCCCTGTCTGCCTTCCTGAAGCCTGAAAGTAAGGCTAGAGGCTCTGAATAAGCCAGACCTGACGCGCTACAAGTTGGGTCTGTCAGCATTTGAAGATACTCATTTACTTCCTTTCCCTGTTTTCGGTTTGGTTTCCTATCTGTCCATTCCGCAGGTAAGCTTTTCTGACTTCTTTGTAAAGATCGAGATTAAAAACTTAATTAAAAGCCTCTGATTTTTCAGTTACTTACAACCAGCTCTCTCCCACCCCATCAAAGGGGTGATATTCTCTTTGAATTTCTCACCCCTCCACCCGGCCAGCTCCCAATTCCCTGCATCTGTTGGCAGCTATTCCATGGAGTGAAGACCTGGCTGCTCACGGCAGGGAGGCACTGTGGGGGGCCTGCCTCCCAGGACTTGTGGCACAGGCCCACAGTTGTCTTCCCCACAGGGCTGCCTGTCTGCGCTTTTGATTATTTACACCAATGCTTTTCTTCACTGGGGTGGAAAATTGAGAGGTGACTGTATAACTGGGGAATATTTCCCTGTCACCCCTTTCTTAGTCACCACTTGGCTCAGCTCTCAGGGGAAGAAACAATTCCCCTGACAGGCATGTGGCGCTTGAAGGCCCTACGTTCCCTTTTGTGTTTAGGTTTCTCATCTCATTCTGGTTTCTGTCCCTTCCCTCCCCCCACCCCTTCCTCCCTCTCTCCTCAGTTCCCCCAAATTCCTGGACATGATGCACAGGAACAAAGCCAGAGGGTAAATACTGTTTCCCGTGGTGACAGGGATAAGCGGCGAGGGTAGACAGCTGCTGGCTGCCAGCACCCAGCACTCACCATGGTTTGTCCCTTGATCCTTTCGCAGAAAAGACCGTGTGCTGTTTGTTACTGGAGGTAAGTAGATTGTCTTTGGGCGTTTTGAATGGCTTTGAGGTGCTGCTGGCAGAGTTATGGCCGCTGAGACAGGCTTTTGTTTTCACCTGTACTAGTGACGTCCTGGAATTGGAGGGTGGAGATGCTGGAGAAGGAGAAGGCCTGCACATTGAACCGTGTCTTCTCTCTACAGAGGGAGAAAGGATAGAACTCAGCACATCATCTACAGCAACTGAGCCTCTCACATACACATCTAGACTCACATACACATGAGGCAAAGAGAAACGTGCTGATCTTGCAGTGTGGACATCCCTGCAGCCTTAGTTTTGACTACAGTGTGTCTTCAGCTCTGCTCCTCTCCCAGCAACTAGACTGATTACATTCTGAATTTCTGTATTGAATAGCACATGAAAGTGACACAAGGTTCTCACAGGAGGCATCTGCTAGGCCATCTTTCTGTAAAATCACTACTAGGATTAGCAAAGGAGTCACCAGGTGTCACCTGAACACAGTGGAATAACCACATAGACAAAAGGATCCCCAGATAGCTACGCAGACCAGGTTCCTCAGGGCAGCTGGGAGGGCAGGACCCCCTCCCCCACCCACAGATAACAAATAGGAAATTCTGAACCTGATCCCCAGCAGGAGCACTAAGTTCAGAAGCACCAGCACTGCTGAAAAAAGGGTCTTTGAGAGCCAGGAAGTGGCCCAGCATCTGTATACACACTAGCCACAAGCTCTCTGGGATCCACTGAGTTCCAAGGTCACAGCTACGAGGCCAGGTCAAGAAGGAGGACATCACGCTTCAGGTAGCATCCACAACCCTGCACTTCAGTTGGCAGGCACAGGCTTCCTGAGGTTCTACAGAAAATTCCAGTGCTCTGAGCAGACATGCCTTACATATTCATACTCAGCCCTGTGGTGTCCACTCAATGGGTGGGATGAGGACACTGATGAGGACAGCGGGGGCATGACGCTCTAGAGTATCCACACTATGGTGGATCCTACCTTTAAGAGGGTAAGAGATTTGATGAATTAAGGAACCCCGCTCAAGAAAAAATGTACATTTACTCACTCCAGAACTTTGTACACAATTATAGGAAGGAATATTGGATGCCCAAAAGCAAAGGCTCTGAAATCCTAAATCTTCTCTGGTTCTCTCATGCCTAATACAGGACCCACATAGTTAATGTTTAGTTAATAGGTGTTGAATAAATAAATGAAATTATAACAGATGTCCTCAGGGAAGACCTAGGGATCACAAATCTGGAAATCTGGGTTGAATGCGAAAGGTGGCAGAGTATGTCTCCCTCCATCTCCAAGCTTAAATTTCAGGCCTTCTCTTTAGTGAGACATTTGGGCTGCTCTTTTCCTAGATCCTGACCTGGGATACATGTACGACCTGAGCTTGGCTCTCTGGGACAGGGTTCTCCCATCTGTCTCAAAACAGCCGAGTCTAGTCCTTTGATTAAGTAGGAATGATGGGGCTGGTGGAGTAGTGAATTTCTGAGGCTCATCTGATTATTAGGTATTTTTACTTGAACGGTGTTCATAGGCTGCCTACACTGTTCATCTTTACGGGGTAGTTTTTCTTCATTGAATCAGGGTAGACCTTGCACACACACACTTAGCTCCCAGAGCCATCTTGTTGGAGGATTTGAAAATCAAGTTCCAGGACCTCCACTTTGATGTACTAGAAAGAGGCCTAGGCTGGGAACCAGGAGATCTATAGGCTCCAGCTCCATACCACGTTATTAGGCTGATGGCTTGATTTCACCACTTAAACTTTCTCCATTTCCATGTCTATTTCTGTAAATGAAGCAAGTCCCTAGATGGCTTCTAAGATTTTGCCCTCTATTACCATAAATCCAAGACATACTTATACCTGCTCCTTCTCTTCCATCTCTCATGATTCCTGAATGTTATAGCAATAATTACAGCTGAAGCATTGAAATATTTTACTCAAGCAGGATCTTCCTTGGAGGAATTCATCTTTTGTAAAATTGCACTGGCCTTTACAACCCCTGTGAGACAGGCAGGAAGCGGCCAGGCGTCTCCACCCTTCTCATGCCTGACTGGCCAAAGACCCAGAGAGGCGAGGTGACTCGCCAAGGTCAGGGCCAATGGCTACTTGGGAATGGGACCTCTGTGCCGCTTCTCAGGAAGGCAGGAAATGGGGTGTAGTGTGTACAAGATTTGAAACCAGGAAATTAAGAAGTACAGAGCTTAGAATCACTGAAGGTTAGAACTAGATCTTAGAAGTCAACGCCAACCTCCTGTTTGACGGGTAAGGTGATCAAAGTTACCAGCCTGCAGGCCATAGCTAGTCACTGACACTAGAGTCAAGTCTTCTTTCTTCAAATCCATTGTTTTTTCCCTGCCCCTCAGAATGTCCTATTTCTTTCTTTCTTTCTTGACAGAAATTTCCTAAACTAAAATAAGACTCATTTTTACCACTGCTCTTTTTGGATTTTTTGCAATCTTCATTCCCTCACCTGCTATGTCTTGCTCAAGGTGGTGGAGAACCGTCAGGGGTGGATATGCAGAAATATTCCAAGGTTCTGGGGGGAAGTATGCCTTGATAACAAAGACAAATATTAATTGACTAAACTAAGGTTAAAAATAATACAACTGAAGAATTAAAGCTAAATTACAAGGGGGCCTCCCCTGGTGGCGCAGCGGTTGAGCGCTGGGCTGCGAAGCTGCCTGCAGCCTCTGCATCGCCAGTTCGATCCCGGGGCCACCGGCGAGGGTCCCACATGGCAAGCAGACCTCTCCTGCTGCCCGCTGCTCCCCTCAGCAGTGTATTTCGTCGGTCTGCCTGTTCTGTTCCCCGCTCTGGCGAATTCTTTCACCCTCCCGCACTTCTGACTGTACCCAGTGCTTGTATAAATAAATAAATAAATCTTAAAAAAAAAAAAGCTTAATTACAAGGAAGGATGCCATTAAGGACAAGAGGAATGAGCCAAACCAGTGATTCTAAAATCACCTTCCCAGAGAATTCTAGACCACACATGCTGCTGCTAAACTCCCAGAAAAATTAAACTGATGGATAAGGTTTTTTTCTTGGTGTTAAATGTTAGTCCCATAAATTCTTCTGAAATGACCAACTGACAAAAGTTGCATATTAGAGACTATTCATTAAAATTCACTCAATTTCTTTTAATGTTATTCTGTATTGTAATAAATACATTAGAGCAGTATTTCCTACTTGTGCAGCCACTCATCGTTCGGAATGAATTAAGTCTATCACTATTTCAAAGTATCTCCCAAAGAGATGTGTATTTCTGTCTCCTGAGCTTCCAGAACAAACTTGCCAGCTATGGGTCCAGGTGACAATAGCTGTGTAAGCATTTAAAGGGGGATGGTGGGGGGAACCAAGGCCAGAGTGATTAGAACTTTATTCTTCACTTGGCTAAGCTAATGAAAATGGGAGAAATCATGTCCTGGGTAGATCAGAGTAGATTTTTCAGAAAGCTCCAATACTTATTCAGTGTTTCCTCTGTGAAGACCCAATGGCTTTTATTGTGGGTGGAAAGTGGGTGGGTTAGTGATAGAAGGAGAGTGTCTTAGTTTCTTGTAAAAAGATGTTGCTGTACAGGTGGAGTGTCTCTGGGTAATGTGTTCCAGATTTACATTATAACATTCTGATACAAGCCCTCACCTATTTAGGGCTTAGTCATTTTGTGTGTTTTGGTCAAGGGACTGCCTTAGATAGATTGCTATAATTATTCTAATTCGATTTCCCCTGCCTAAAACTAATTTATAGAGCACTGTGCTTTTTTACTCACTATTAAAATATTTTATAGACTTAATTTTAGAGAAAAAGAGCCTTTCCTTCAAATTTTCTCATTCTTTGTTAATATACATAGAACCATTAACAAAACTGTAATCAATTAATATTATAGATTATTCTCTTCCAACTAACATTATTCTATTTATACATTTCCATTTCCCATACACCGATCATTTAAGTGGTTAGGTAATATTCCATATTCCATTATTGACATACTACATAGGTTGTCTAGCCACGCTCCACTATCTAGTTACTGTCTGGATTTTTATTTTGTTTCACAATTTATTTAAGAATTGATTGAGAATTTTCTTTTTTTTTTTTTAAAGAAGTGGATTTTTTTTTTTTAAGATTTATTTATTTATTTATTCAAGCACTGGGTACAGTCAGAAGCACGGGAGGGTGAGAGAATTCACCAGAGCCAGAGCAGGGAGCAGAGCAGGCAGAGGGACCGAAGTACACTGCTGAGGGGAGCAGTGGGCAGCAGGAGAGGTCTGCGCGCCATGTGGGACCCTCCTCCGGTGGCCGGGGAGCAGCCGGGGATCGAACCGGAGCTGCAGAGGCCGCGGGCAGCTTTGCGACCCAGCGCTCAACCGCTGCGCCACCAGGGAGGCCCCGAGAATTTTCTTTGAAGTGTAGTTCCCAAAGTGAAAGGTGCATTTGTTTATAGGTCTCACAACCTATAAACTGTGTGACAGAAAGACAAAGCCAATCTATTGTGCTAATAATGTTAATACAAGCACCACTTATCTACTGAGAAAAAACAGGAAATGGCTGCCAGAACACCCAGGCATCAGTAACAAACTTAGTGATTAATCTTGGATCAGCAACCCCTGGTCTCACCCCTCCTGTCCTTTGGCCAATAGTAATAATAATTTAAGAATTCCCTAAGGGGCCTCCCTGGTGGTGCAGCGGGTTGAGTGCAGCGCTGTGAAGCTGTCTGCAGCCTCTGCAGCGCCAGTTCAATTCCTGGCCGGCCAGGGAGATTCCCAAGTTGCATGGCAAACCTCTCCTGTCCTACCCACTGTTCCCCTCAGCAGTGTACTTGGGTCCTGCCTGTTCGGCTCCCTGCTCTGTCTCTGGTGAATTCTCTTACCCTTGCCTCTGGCCTGTACCCCAGTGCTTGTATAAATAAATAAATCTTTAAAAAAAAAAAAATCCTAAGTGCCAGTCACTCTTCTAAACACTTGAGTTACCTGATAGTATTTAATTCTTATAATACCCTAAGAGAGGTGCCATTATTACTTCTATTCTACAGATGAGAAACCAAGGCTCTCTGAGATGCAAAAGATAAAAATTGCCAACGGTCATGGAGCTAGGGAACATCAGATCCTGGGATGTCTTCAGAGCTTGTGGTTTTAATTCTGAGCTCTACCACCTTAAAATCTTGGAGG